AATTAAGTTAAATGCACATGTCGGTACACGATCCTCTGTTACCCCACACCCTTTGCCATCATACCCCATTTATTAAAAGCGATTACGGAGCGAGCTGAACCGACGCACGTCTGATTGACTTTGCACTTGCTTTATCGCTGCCTGATACATTTTAATCCCCTAAATTATGATATTGATATTAACGTCTACGGTTTCATTACATAAAACAGGTGATTTAATGATCACTTCATTTTACTGTGATTTTTAATTGTCTGAGTTAAAAAAAATATTAACCTACTGCCACAGTACGCTATATTCCGATAGAATAAATAAATATTACTGACACTAATAAAATTAACAATAGTGACGTTAATGTAATAAAAAAAAATAGTGTAGTGGTCAAGCGAACGCTAATGCACTTGACAACAAATATACATATATAAATGTGTAGGTACAAATACAACAACGAAAACGTTGCAGTGGAATCTAAAAATAAACCTTTCTTATAGAATTACGAACAGACATATTTACAGAAACGGAGAAAAAAAAACTAAAATAGTGATGTATTAATATTAAATATTTAAACAAACCCTTACATATTATATGTGTATATGTATTCTATATAAAATATGTGTAATAAACAGACGTTATAAAAGGATAGAATCTCAAAAACAATATCAGATAACCGAGTACAAGATAGATATCTTAAGCTGTTGCCTGTCGAACCGTACAATATACAGTTGAATAAGTCTTTAATTTCCACCTGAAAGTTAGCACCTGTTATGCTTGGCAAAAACTATACTATAGCCACTCATAATCAACAATAATCATTGACCACCATAACTGTCAAAACGGCACTAAATATTGTTTGTTAAATGCCATAAGTTTTGTATTTTTTTTTCAACGGTCTACACCTTTGGAGTGTACAAAGATGTAGGTGCTGTTGATACAAAGGTGTGCCAGGTGCTAAAGGTTAACAGACATTAATATTTAAACTAATGACATGAAGCGGAGTAATTCAGAGAAATTAAGCTATTTTAATATAATGTAATAAATATTATTAATATTTCCTACCGCAGGATAATTAAAACCATACAAGAGAGATAATTTATAATAAGTTACCTAAGTGTCTTAGAGGAACGAACACGATGCAGCAGTATAAGGCTGTAAAATTAACATGTTTTATAAGGCTTATAAAAATGGGAACGAATTGCAAAAAACTAAAAGGTCATCATCATTTCAATCAGTAGAAAACATGAATGCACTATTCTAAACACGCACATTTCATATACATCGTCGTCAGGTCCGCCGGCACTGCTAGTATCCGTTGAATGACTTATAATTGGCGGTATTAAACGTCTATAAAAACCATTGATACGTTGAGCAGTTGCTCAAATTGCGGATACCGATAAATTATGTACCTAGTACCTATGCAACACAGCTCCTCAGCTCGCAAGTGATGCACTGTGTACAGGGTAATTTATCTGACAATGTTCAGTTTTTTGACTGGTATATGGTTTTCTAAGTGTCATCAGCTGTAAAACAGCCATAAATATGAAAGTTGTAGTTAGAAAGATAAAATACACTTATTAGTAAGCTGAAATATTTCTGCACATTTAATTTGCAGAGAAGCGGTCGGACGTTGCAATTTCAACACTGCTTTATTGTACGAGTTCACCGGTGACTTACGACGTTAAAGTTAACCGCAAACAGATATTGCAATAATGTTGTTAACCTATAAACCTTCGAACATAAATAAGGGTATGTTATGACTAACATTCAAATATTTTGGACAAGCTCATTGTCAAGAGAGGTCCAACGAACATAAATCGTTTACCAGTTAGGTTCCCCTAACAAAGTCCATTCGGCAGTAAAGTGGCCGCTTGTAAATCAAAACGACGAATCGAAAAAATGAAAAAGTATACAAATCGAGACAGAGCTACGTTTCGTAAGCCACACAAAGTTAAGGATGTGCTACTTACATTTACGATTAGTTATCGATAACTATTTATTATTTACTATTTCAAAAACAGGTTGAGTGTTGAAATTTTAAAGCAAATTGTCATTAAATTCAAAGTAGGACATGTAAGTAAGTCTAGTGGAATACTGAGCGCTTAGATTTAGCCATGTTTCAACAATAAATAAATGGTTTCCATTTTTTTCAACATTGTGGTTTTTTTCTACTTGTTTGCATGTAGCAAATAGAGACATACATCATCGCAGCTAAGCTAACGCATTTCTCCCAGACGTCTTAAAATAAAACCATAAACCTGTTAGAAACGTATGACATAAGAATTCAGAACATGTTCCACCATTATAAGTAGTATGAAACTTAAACGCTACTAAAATAAAAGTAAGTCTAGACAACTATTTAATATTAATATTAAAACATCGGAAGCTACCTACCTGAAGTTTAACGTTATCTTATTTGTGTAACAATACGTATTACTTATAAGCTTATAAAGATAGTAGTAGAATTAGGAATAAATTTTGATAATAAAGTCAGATATTTGGTGGTCCCTAGCGAGCCGTATCGATGTAGAAAGGAACGGATTGTACATCGCTATAAAAAAAGATAAAGCATATTACGGGATGTCCGGAGATAAGGGCCACTTTATGTTTTCATATTAAGTTTGACATAAAAATGAACGCAGTAACACGTTTTACTTGTATTGGTGGTCTTTGTAAGTTTGACAATCTCCTTATAGTATTTACCTAATGTTAAATGTTTTATATAGTGACATAAATCGTAAAGAATTCACACGCAATTAAACAAAACCACAAAAAATCACAAAATAAAACCTAAATTGACGTCAATCATATTTAAGTTTTATTTTGTGATTTTACTTACCTCAAAGTTATATCTACAACTTTTAATACTATTAAGATAACAAAATGCTGTGTAAAGAAATTAATATAAAATAAATTGTAAAGCAATTGGAAAACACGCTCCGCCAGGGGGTGAGGGGAGGGCCCCTTGTTTGTGCCTGATATCCCGTTTTGATTGGACGGGTTGATTTATCTCCTGTTTAGATATTGCAAAGATTACATATTTTTGATACTCTAGGTATTAACATCAGCGCATAGTACGAACATTTTACTCTTTACATAATAGGGTAAGATAATAATATTATAATGTGAAAGAAAAAACATCATCACACCAACAGTCTTTAATCGTCCACTGTTGGACATAGGCCTCTCCTTAGAAAGGCGGTTTTGGTCTGCTATACCATGCTGGCCAGACAGGTTGGAATAGGGTTTGTGTCAAGTTTTAATTGAAAGAAAAGAAGAAATGACTCTTTAGATGTCTTGTATTAAACACCTTCCAAAACTATGGTATTTTAATTTCATCTTCTCCTGCTTAGATGATTTTTTTAAATAATATAGTTTTCAATCTTAAAAGTGCCTATTAATAAGATTTTAAGAATCTGTCACATCATAACTACAGAAAAGTATCAAAACATTGTGTCTCTATTGTAGGTACACGCTGTAAGTATAACAATTGGATCTATCCCCCTGAGATTGAAATGCTTTCCGGGCTACTGCCGGTTACTGTGATTTAGACTAACTGCACTTGTTGCGATATGAGGTCCCTCCCCATCTCCGATAATGAATGACAGGCGACTAATATGCGGATAATACACATTCCAAACACTTGTTCCTACAAGGTAGTTCATCGTAACTGTACTCGTGCATGAATTGGCAACCTGCAATCAGCTAATCACAAAACTGCAGTAACTCACTACATTTCCGGGGTGATAATATTTTACTGCGTATGATTTTTAAAAGCCCTTAAAATAGCCTTGTGTTAATTGCCACTATTTTGTCCTGTTACGTATAATTGAGCTGTCAAAATCATTATTTCTGAAATAAATCTTGATCATATTAAAGCTAATGGAAATACCAAAACAGTAGAGCATTGATAAAATGACAAACAAAATTAAAAAGACGTTTATTTTTTGTCGCTTGACGTGTCAATATTGCGCGAGCGCCTCCCGGGAGGGCAGTATGTCAGATCGCGACATTGTTCCCGGGACGACCCGCGCGGGGCACGGAGCCCGTATACAATGCCAATTTTCCGCTCACCGCCACCGACTACGCAATTATTTAGATAAACCTCTCGGCGTGACTATAAAAACATCTTCCCCTCCCCCACGCAACGCTGTTTGTTGTCTTTGGGGCTTTGTGAATTTATAGCCCGCCATTACGCCGACGGTTAGGAAAAAATGTACTTTTAATTTATCTCGTTAAAGGGTTGAAGAACTGCCGGCTTCGCGAAGTAATTATTCCGAAATTGGCCACTTTAGCTGATGAATCCATTCCATTGTACCCTTTATTGGAGGGTGATTGTGGAGTGAATTAATTTGTTTTTGACTCCGATCTCAACAGAATGAAAGATTACATTATGTTGATGAGCGAAGTAGTAAATCAAATCGATCATATCTTTTTGAATAATATTGTTTAAAACTTCTTTACGGGCGTTTGAAAAATTAAGTCGTACTGGTTGAACTTTATTTATAGTAGGTACTGTCTATTAATTATCTTATTATATGCGACGTTGGACCTTCTGGTGTAAGTGTATTCTCCGCAGTGTTTAATGCAAACACTTTTCAAAACAAATTCTAATTTCAAAATAATGTGACCGGTGGTAATTATCTTATAACCATTAGGCACTTTTTTCAATACCCACTAATATTAAATAATCACTAGATCGCTAGGGGCATAGTTAACAGTTTACCTATAGACAGAACTCGGTACATTTATAAACACTTCCACTTGATTCCTTCCATCTAAGACCAAACTTCTGTATTCAGTCAATAGCATAATGTATTGAAACTTATCTCAATGCGAACAAAAATTCCTAAGTGATGGCTATGGTTTGATTATTTATAATTTTCCAAGATCGAGCCTGGAATAACCTGCTATGTGTGTAATCGTTAATTGCGTGTTGTTAGTTTTTGTTGCATACAGATTATAATTCCTTAGTGTTAAATATTACTATAAATATAAATAAAAATATATTACCTGCCAGTCTTCGTGATTATCATTTCCGTGCCGAGGTCATGGAACTTATCCCAAAGCTCCTTTGTTTCTAACTGGCAATCAACAGATAGCAACTCCTCGCAGTTGCATGAAGTGGCTGGAGGAAGCGGCCGCGCTGGCGAAGGCGTGTCTCGCTCGCCTAGTTCTGTTATAAGGATACTGTTAAAAATGGGAGTGTGTAGAGATAAATAAAAATCGAAGATAAAAACTATATATATTTAAAATTAATCTCTTTCTATCTTATATACTCTCAACCTTGTCACAATATATCAACGTACTTTTTACCATGGCTTATGATAATACAGAATTATTCGGCCATTAAATAATAATCGCGTAAATCGGTTCTTTAAACTTAGTAAAATTTATGCAATAAAAAGTTAATGATATGAATACACACCTATATGAGGAAATATATGTAACTTACATGAGTATTTTTCGAGAACATTCTTTATATGTATAAAGAATATTTTTGCTATAGCTTTGTTGTTTTGTATTTACTGCAGTATTCACATTTGAATGTTATCCAAATATTCCTTAAAATTCTTCGTTGATCATAATACATTGTAGCATTTATCAAAAATGATATCAAGGCTCTGATATGATTTTCCATTTTCAGTACGACAACATTGATAGCTAATAATGATATTTATTCATACTAATAAAACATGTACATTACTAAATCGGTGATTACCTTTTAAAATTAATATTGTCTTTTGACCTGACTTAGAAAAATGGGAACCCATTTACCTAGGACATATACGTTTTTGCCACGTAATATTAAAACCGTTTTTCTAACTCATCAATTCAAATCTTTTAAAAATAATTTATTAGGTATTATTTATTAGGTAGGTATAACTTAATGCCTTGTACAATAATTTTATCATACTTACCTAATTTAATTTCAAAAATTATAAACACTAAACATAAATTGGGCTAGTAATATATCATTTTGACATGTGTGAACGTCACTTTTGAATAAATGGAAAAATTTTCAGTCTTAGCGAATAATAAAAGTTCATAGGTACCTAATGAATAGGATGTTATAAAAAAAAAAAGTTATTTACGTCGGCAAACTTTATCATTCATAAACATATTTAATTAAAATTAATGAGCTAAGAAAAACTATTTGCTGCTAGGCAATATTTAAAAAGTATTTAAATAGTTATAAAGTTGATAATACACGTTTGACTCAACATAAGTATTTTCTTAACTGTGCGAGGTGTTAAGCGTTATTGTTTTAACGTATTTTAAGCAAAATAACAGTTTAGACTAAAAATATTGATATTTTGATTGAAATAAATTGCATTTACTACTGTGTGTAATTGTGTATTACATTTTTAAGCAACACAAACAAATGTTAATAAAAAAAATATAGGAAAAGGAAGAGTAAACAAAACAGTGTTGATTAGTGTATGCAATATAATCATATGAAACAATCCTGTCCCCGGTCCTGTTCCCGAGTAAAAATTGCATAATAACATAACATATGACTGTATCAACTTGAACCTCGTTTGGAAGCCAACCTGTGGCTATATTACAGTTTTCTACACACTTTTTTTTTCAAAAAATAATGTAGTTTAGTAAAGTTTGTTTAGTAAAGTGTAAAGTTTACAAACATACATGAAACGGACACAAAGAACACCCAGACTCAGAACAACAATCTGTGGATCACACAAAGTGTCCTCCCATGTGGTGTTTGAACCCACAACACTCGGCGTAGTAGGAAGCGGCATGGCGATAGCTTAAACCTCTACGCCATCCGTGCAGTACATTAAACTATAACTGCTCGCGTTGCTAGGCGTGTGAGAACGGAATTGCGCTAGTATGAGAAAGTTTGTTTATATCGTTAATAACACACTTGTCTACTAACAACTTCTATTACTTTTTCTTATAAACACAATGATGGTGCGGTTCTGCAGTAAATCGCTTTTATTTTCCATGTCGATGAACACGAACATTTTATATTTTATTATCACTCTAGAGAAAACAAAATATTGGGAAGAAATAATATATTTTAATAAATATACTAAAAATATAGGAAATTAAATGATATTGTAGAATAGTAGTTATTGTGAAATAAATCCAAGATGTAATTAAATGAACCGGAAAGGCAATCCTTCTTTTATATTCTTGTATAAAAGTTCCTATAAGAATATGAACTTTAACTACTTAAGGGTCAAGTATTTGGTGCAAAAAGTTTATTTCTTGAGATCGACGTTCTGCACTGACCGTGAACTTGTGTCATAAAATGCTCTTTAGCCCTCGTTAATACCATTGCAACGGTCAGCTAAATTTCATTAACCTAACACACAAACATGACATTTTTTTTAAAAGTAGTTAAGCTTATTACATTATTGCCACAAGTGGCGTTGCTTTACACTTTAAAAAAATGTGAACACCATTTTAATATAACGTCATATCGACATTTAAATAATATTATCCGCTTTTCTTTTAGACTACATTTACCCTTGCAAGGAATGTTTTCTAAGTTATGCAGCGTCCAAGTTACTATTAATACAACATTGCAAAACAATCGTCACATTACCGTTAATATCGTAATACCGTTACCGTTAATATCAATACATGTGATTTACTGAAAATTTACAAAAGGATTGCTGTCGTCACGTATGAGCCGTCTCGACTGTAGTCCACTAGCCACCAGAAAAACCGCGTCACGAAGTTAAGCAATACCTTCGTTGCTTTTTGCTGAATGAGTAAGGTTACCACAAGCAAGACTTCTCCAATAATTATGGGGTCACTAGGGCAGTATCGCACTTGCGTCTCTTGAGTTGCAGCTATCTATGAGAAGCAACAGCTACTTACCATTAAGTGACCCGATTGCTCGTTTGCCCCCAGTAAATAGAGTAGCAACCTATATACATATCTACGTCGTCCCTGGAAATTAGGAGTTTTACCTTTGACTGCGTTATCGAAGCAAACTAGCTAACATAAGTTATCAAGAATACTGTAACTGAAATGTTAGTCATGAATAGGTAGATGTCTAGAGAACCGTTAAAAGCGATGTTTATAAGCAAGCTCGTTTTCTCTAGGTGTGAAGTCATTATATTGTATCTTATAAATAACTTTCATATTTTAGACACATTTATATTTATATACCTCATCATGTTCACGAGGTGATAGTTTCCATGACAACCTATATGAACACTTTGGAACTAAAACGTACACTTTATTTTATGGAAAACTATCTGACACTTTTAGTATCTGTTTGCATTTGCAAAATTACTCAGTACACTTAAAAGAAAATGTTATAGACACATTAAATATTAGTTAAACCCGCAATGCAATGTGGGTAATAATACATTCTATAAATCTGACGTCAGGGACCTGAGATTTCTTATTTACAACATAAATTGTGACACAGATTTTCTAATCTGAGAGGATATATAGCAAAGGCCATAAAAAAACGGCTGTCGCTTAGTATGAGGCTGTCCCACATAATCACAAACTCTTTTATCATTGTGATTACCATAAAAAAGACAGCTCAAAGTGAAACTTGAAGAAGACTCAATTATAATGGTATTGTTAATCGTTGTCGTAATAAAAGCAGACTTAAATAGGTTTAATTTATTTTATCAGTTAACAAAAAGTTATGAAAACAAATAAAAAACAATCTATAGTTAAAACGCGAAACATTTTGACTATCTAACTTTTAAACTTTCTCGTTCCATGATAATTAATATTATTTAACGGGAATTAACGCGATCTCTTATTTAGGGTATTACATACCTCTGGTTTGCCTGACGTTTCGACCAGGTTGCACCGGCCGTGGTCACAGGCTGACTGGCTCATCGGCGCACGCCCTCCGTCGTCGAATCCGTGAAGTAGAAGGCTCTTTATCTACCCGCACATTTTCGATATTGTTTTTGTGTCGCCATGTACCGTCACATACCACACTAACAGTGTCCCAATTCTGTAAGCAAACCGATGAGTCCCTATTCTGGTATTTAACCGATTGCGCAGAAAAGCGAGGTGGTATGTTTTTTAACACTGGATTCCACGCTGTAGATAATTTAAAACCATCTTCCCGATTGAAAGTTTTATGCTTATTAATCTCAATCGCTTCACGTACAACTCTTGAGTAAAAGTGACGTTCGGTGGAGAGGACTTGCGTGCGGTGAAATTCAATCCAGTGGTTGATGCCTGCATCGAGTGCATGTTCTGCAATCGCTGATTTGCTCGTCTGTCGGTTCTTCACAGCAGCGATATGCTCTTTGACCCTTTCTGCAATAGTCCGCTTAGTTTGGCCTATGTATGAGCTTCCGCAGCTGCAGTCTATTTTATAAACACCCGGAGTTTGTAGTGGCAATGTATACTTCGGTGTGCCGACGATGTTGTGAACCTTTATGCCTGGTGTGTATACTGTCGGAATGGAATATTTCTTTAGTACAGACCCGATCTTGTCCGTAACTCCCTTGACATAAGGCATATAGGCCGGTTGCCTGTTCACTTCTGGATACTTGCGTCTTATTTTCGGTTGCTTCCGTCCTCCTTTCACTTGATATCCGTTACCTTTGAGTACCTCCTGAACATGTTTTAGCTCCTGTTCTAAATGTTCAGGGTCACAGAGATCGTAAGCTCTGTTCTTGAGTGAAGTCATAACAGATTGCAAGTGCCGGGGGTGATGATGAGACGTGGCGTGTAGGTATCTGTCCGTATGAGTAGGTTTAGGGTACACACAGTGTGACAAGGACCCATCCGATCTCACGGCTACTTTAACATCTAAGAAGGACAACGACCTGTCCGTCTCCATTTCATATGTAAACCTCATTTTGGGGTGAATAGAGTTCAGATGTTGTATATATTGATCCACTTCTTGTTTGTTTCCTTTGACGATACTGAAAATGTCATCCACGTATCGCTTCCATAGCTTAACGGTATTCGGGCCGAGATTTAAAGCCTTCTCTTCAAGAACCTTTGAAGAATTTAAAGCCTTCTGAAGAACCGACAGACGAGCAAATCAGCGATTGCAGAACATGCACTCGATGCAGGCATCAACCACTGGATTGAATTTCACCGCACGCAAGTCCTCTCCACCGAACGTCACTTTTACTCAAGAGTTGTACGTGAAGCGATTGAGATTAAAAAGCATAAAACTTTCAATCGGGAAGATGGTTTTAAATTATCTACAGCGTGGAATCCAGTGTTAAAAAACATACCACCTCGCTTTTCTGCGCAATCGGTTAAACACCAGAATAGGGACTCATCGGTTTGCTTACAGAATAGGGACACTGTTAGTGTGGTATGTGACGGTACATGGCGACACAAAAACAATATCGAAAATGTGCGGGTAGAAGAAAGAGCCTTCTACTTCACGGATTCGACGACGGAGGGCGTGCGCCGATGAGCCAGTCAGCCTGTGACCACGGCCGGTGCAACCTGGTCGAAACGTCAGGCAAACCAGAGGTATGTAATACCCTAAATAAGAGATCGCGTTAATTCCCGTTAAATAATATTAATTATTTTGACTATCTGTTATTACTTTCGTAAAAAATAGTGGTAAATATTTAATCATTGTAGTTCTTCTAAGATTGTATCCTACTTGTACGGTAGGTACTACTGACACAACCATAAATTATGAATAATCTGTATAGATTATTAATAATTTATTATTAATAATTATAGTATAGATTATATATTATATTAATAATTTATAGTATAGATTATACTATGCATTTAATGTATCAGATGCATTAGAGTGTAAACAATAATAATAGATATATCACTCAAGAGTAAAACGTTACCAACCAGAAGAAGGTGCTGGCGATGGCGCCGCGTGGTCTGACGTGTCTCGCTCGCCATCGGAACATTGTTCCACGTCAACTTCGACGTCCTCATCGAGCAGAGGTGACCGACAGCTCGACGCCGGCGAACTGAGTGACGCCGGCGAACTCTGACGCGACACCGACCCTGTCACATAAACACTATCTCAATATCCATTGTTAAACATTTTGTAATTTACATTATTGCTTACCATGTTAATTGAATGCAAAATGTCACCTCAAATGTCAACACCAATAACTTACTGACAGAAAGCAATTATATTATTTTGGTAATTAATTAAATTTTGCCGGGAAATATCAAAAGCAAAACTTTTTCCGACAAAAACAATTTAAATGTGCGAATGCAATGTTTAAGTTACGGCTTATTTTAAAAATAGAATGCAAGCATATTTGGTTTTTCTTTTTTATATAAATCTTTGGCCTATTCTTTCTGAATAGAATCTCATTATTTTCTATTTTAGCATGAAAAAGAATTGTGAAGAAATAATACATGTTAATTACAAAAACTGAAGATAATTTGAGCAAGTACAAAATGGAACACAATTATATTTGACGTAAATGCTGTTTTCACAATTTCTCACCAATTAAAAAGCTATAAACTTGAATGTACCTAGTCGGTCTGCTGTCATCGGGCTAAACTAAAAATATTAAACCAAAAACTTCGTTATTTGCCATAGAACTTGATAAAAAAAAACAACAAAAATCTGTTAAGCTTTTTGGTTTTTTTTTGTGGTTGCTATAATAAACATTATTTATTATTTATTTTAGTTGTTGTGAGTATAGTCTATACTCAAATCAAGAATTATAACATTTAAATCCTACACACAGATACGATATCAGGCACCCAAAATTCATTCGTCTTTTTCTGTTTTGCCTGCATGGACAAGGAGTTCTTGTGACATTTAATAAACGCATTGTACATCCTATTGTAAAACGACTTGCTTGACAACTACACTGCACTACAAACTATCAGTTTTCAATCAGCTGACGTCTCGGCATATGCATGTCAGTGTTGCCACCTGCGAGTTGAAAAAGCGCCAAACATTGCGCGCCATTTTTTAATGTAGCTCGAAACAAACGCGAGATTTCCCTAAAGGATATTGACTACGTGATAAAAACCTAAGCCCCCGCCCCTCAATGAGACTCCCCCCCTCTGAACGGGTCACGTAGTATGGGTACGTTCCCTTACTTACTTCGCAAACATACCTGGGGTACATTAAAGTACTTTGTAAGACTTTGTGTAAGCATTGATCTGGGTATTTCTTTTTGCTAGAGAATTGTGGTTGAATTGTGATTCACCCGTTTTAAATTACTTGTTATGTTGTTACATATCATTGATGAGAACAACTTGAGGTGGCATTATTTAGACTTTTTTACCATGACAGGTCAAAATGTATACTGGACCCCTATACTATAAATGACTTTTAACTTTATAGCACATACTGTTTCGAAATTTAAGATTTTTACCACGCTTTTTTTAGCTTCACCTGTATGAATGTAACGGTATCTTTGAACGTGATTTTCAACCACTTCAAAACATCTGATTAAATTGAAACTTCGCACACTTATCAAGGACCGATGACAATACAATAATTTATATTGAGTGATTTAGAAAAATACATTTTACGAGAAAACGTGGGGTTCTTTGTAAGATATTTTATAATGTAATGACTTTCTTTTAGCAATTTCCGTCAAAAAATGTTTCCCTACCACCATTATCATCTAGCACCCTACGCTTTTTATGATAAAATGATGTTTTTCTTTAATTACTCTATTACTATTGTTTAACTTATAGAAAATTATCTTCTACGCTTTAATTCGGCTAGTTACAAAAGTGTGTTTTTTTTAACTATTATCCATTCCACAAATAAACATTAAGTATTCAATCATTCAATTCAATTCAATAAACAATTCAATAAATTAATTAAAGATATAATATCCTTTAGTGAGCGTATTTACTTCAGAAGGAGCAGAAAGAATATTTTCTTCACGTATTAATATCTAATATCTAGATAATGTTATGTATAAGTCAAATTCTCTTTAACGAGGTTTTCCGGACGTCCCTTGTTGTATGACTTTTCCCGGGTTCTTACCGTTAATAAAACCTATGAATGGCTCGAAAAGTAAACATTTATTGATAAAACTAGTATGAAAGATTATATTACCTTACTTTGTATGCTACATTGGACCGACATAACTATAGTAACACTCTTTATTTTAGAATAGAGGTCTACTATTTTTCGGCATCCAATGCTTTTGGTATATGTATTTGGATAAATTAATTCGTGTTGTGATAAATTAAGAATACGGAATGCCACCGCTGTTCATACCGTGGGTGTCGTAAGAGCCAACTTAGGGAGCAAACTACGCAGGACAACAGTACTGTAGAGAAGAAAAACTTGACACAAACCCTTATACCGTCTGGCCAGCTTGATATTTTAGGCCAAAACCTTCTTTCTAAGAAGAGGTCTACGTCCAGCAGTGGACTATAAAAGGCTGTGTATGATGATGATGATTGTTGGTCTATTAAAGGCTGTTGCTATTAAAATCTCTCAAGACACATAGATGTCTCGTGTACTGTACATTTTCATCTTTTACAGATTGTTGGTAACATTACATAGTAAACATCAAAGCATTATTTTCTCCTCTGGTACTTCATAAACCAGGGAGCCATCAGACAGGGACTGTCTATTTTTGTGTCATTCTGATATATCAAATGTTAACTATCGTATTGTAGTTAATTTTGTGAGTTATAAATGTATGAGAATATTTGGCAGGGTTGATACTGTGTTTAAAGAGCTTATTAAATTAATGTAATGAAAGAAAACGATTTTATGTGTGAATCATTACGAAAAAAAATATATTTTAATAGTGTGATGATGATGATTATAAATAAGTATTTTGAAATAAAGTGTTATTCCGTGCAAAGGTACACCACAAGGAACTATTTTTATATCGATTTAGAGACTTTTTGATGAGAATCGACAACGTCTTAGAATTATACTATTTTAAGTACAACTAAACTTTAAATGAATAGATATTCTTACTTAGATTATGCTTACTTTCTGATATATTTTAGATTATAAACTATTTTGGAACGGGATCTTATTGCTATTAACTTTGTTACGTGTTACATTAAAAATTTGGGTAATCTTATGAGATTTTCAAATGAATTTTACTGTAGTCAATATTGTAAGTTGTAAGTAAAAAATGTTGACTAAAAATATGTTTATTTTATTTAAAATTGATTAGTGAACATACCTACACAGTTTAATGTTCGGTTAGCTATCAAATATGGGTGCTTTAATAATTATGTTTTTTAGACGTATAATGTACCATTTAGAAAATATTAAAGGTAATTAGAGAATCAGTTGTGAAATTATTTTCTAATCGGTCCTGATCACTATACTTATTAATTGTAAAGTGTATAAGCGTTTTGATTTTACTATGTAGTTTAAAAAGACGATAGAGGATTTAATTAAATCAAACCTGCAAAATCATGTAGAAAATTACAGTAATATATATTCGAGCACTTTGACCACTGCCTGGTATGGAATTTTAGAGGTAACCTGCTGCTAATACGAATCATATTGATGGTTAGGTATCGTTTTGCGAGTAAACCCAAGCCACCAGGAGACATACCTAGGCAGGTATATAGACATCAAGTCATGGACACTACAGTTTAATTCATCTATTTTATACCTAATATCCACTTAATCATCTTGGCTGTATTTTAGATACCAAAAAGAATTTTTGTAAATGTTTAATAAAAACAATTTAAACTAAATTTTTGTTCCCAATCAAGAGTTTTACAGAGAAAATTCATAAAGGTTTTGGTGAGCTTTTTAAGGATTTACAATGTTTATGTTGTATCATGTTGTATGTGTTGTGTTGTACCTTCCTTAATAAAAATTGATGGTAGTTTCTTACATTTCATAAATATATTAGTGACAGAAATTAATGAAAATTTGTTTTCCAATTATTAAATTAACCTACGAAAACTGTAATATTATAAAAACAACAAGGTTGCAAGTATTAAATACATTCTTAAGGCATTCTAGCAATTTCTACAGAACAGACAAATAGCCTCGTTTTATTAACATTAGGCACGATGCGGTATAAACATTACCGTTATAGTTAGTAGCATGAGTTAGAAAAATATCGAAGGTAGAAACTTAGTGTAGGGTAATAGATAAGTTTAAATAAATGAATTTCTTGTTCAACTAACGTTATTATGTGCCTTGTGGAAAGACTTTATATCTGTTTTTGTTTTTATCTATAGATAAGTATACATAAAAACATTAAGTAAGTTTGTGTTACTACTTACTGTTGATACTTAGCATACCTATAAAAAAAAAAAAAAAAAAAAAAAAAAGAAAAAAAAAAAAAAAAAAAGTTTAAAGAGTAACTTACTAGTAATGAATAATATTTCGATAGGCCAGTTAAATCTTCATAACGATAAAATAGCTACATCAGAATTAGACCGTTTAATTTTAGAACAAAAGTTAGACATTGTCCTTTTACAAGAACAATATCAGAGCGCTCGCTTGCGTCGTAATGTAGTACAGCTTGACTGCCGTTCGCAGGCTGGGATATATGTTGCAAGTTCTAATTTTACGGTAACATCTTTGCGTAATCTTATGACGTCACACTGCGCCGTTGCTGAGATCTCATCCTCTACCTGTAAGGTTTACGTAGTGAGCTGCTATTTTCAATACTCACATCCTATTGATCCTCACTTACATCACTTACGTTACGTCTTGCAGTTCCTCGTGGGACATAAAATTATCATTGGCGCTGATGTCAATGCGTCATCTTCATTATGGTATGGCAAGTTGCGTTCAACCGACACGGTTCGACGTTGTGCGGTTGAAGATTTCATTGCGGAAATGAATCTTATTATTCACAATACCCCCGATGCACCACCAACTTTTTGCAACCCAATGGGTGAGTCTTCTATTGACGTGACGCTTACGCGCGGCGACGTCTCGATATCCGGATGGCGTGTCCTTCCGGACGCATCCTGTAGTGATCACCGCTTGATCGTGTACGAATTCACACCAAGGGTTGCACAGGATCCACAAAGGGCTCCCTATAATTTTAGATATAAAACTAAAGGTGCGAACT